ATTGAAATACGTTAGACGTTAGCCAGGACGCAAGCCAGCACGAAGCAGGACGCGGCAGGATGCTGACGGATGCGGCACGTCAGCTTCACTTTACGTAATGTGCGCCAGGAGATGCAGAAACTGAACACATGGCATGCTAACGACGACATTCGCTGCGCTGCTCTTTAAAGATTCTAATTTAATTAAAAAAGTAATTAAATTTTCTTCTTCAATTTTTTTTCCTGTAGCAAAAGTCAATTGCTTATAATTTCCATTAGCTGAACGAAAAATAGCGTCATGTTAATGGAAAAAGTTGTGTACGTGTGTGTGTGTGTGAGTAGTTCTAAGCACCTGATTTAACTATATGTTTTACAGGTATTCATATACTCGTACATGCGTTGTTGTTGTTGATAAAGTTTTGACTGGCATTTCGTGCCTAGTGCAAAAACTCACTGGCAATTCGTGTGGGTTTTAATGACTGGCACAAAAATCAATAAAGCTAATGGCTTTGATTCGCACGCCAATCGCTAGTCATGAAGCTAAACAGCTGTCCATCGCAAATCTCTAATTTAAATAGTTTAAAACCTTACTATAAATGACTCGAAGTCAGGGATTAATCGTGCCCTGGCTTGAGAAATAAAAATAGAATGCGTAATGGTTAGTTATTTATATTTAATCTGACTAATTTGTTTTTGTTTAGGCAGTTCCTTACTATATAAGCTCAATTTAATTTTCGATCAATCCTAACTTCTAAAATAAAAAAATAAGTATTTTTTGCATGAATGAATCAACATTAACGCAGCCTCAAGACCATTATATACAAATAATGTCTCTCTCTTATTCTCTTTACTGAATTTCGCTTTTATTACATCGCAAACAATTTTATCACTGATTGCGATCGTAAAAAGAAAACATTTAACTGAATATTAAAGACTCGTTAAGGCAACGAATGAAAATTCTACGTAAAAATACATTTGAAACGCGACAAATGCCGAAACAAAATAAATAAAAGGAAAAATAAACAAAAAACTCTTCAATATGGCAAAAATGTTATATGCGGTCTGCATGCGATTGCCAGATTTGTGCTCAAAATATGCAAATATTTAAATGGCAAAAACGAAAAACTATTGTGCTCAAAACGAGAAACGGATGTATCTAGGCGTTTTGAAAGAGTGAATACCCTACGGAAACCTATTCTCCACAGTTAGCATAAGTATTATTAGATTGTCTAATATCTTATTATAAAGAAATGCTGCATAAATAAACACATTCAATCAAATTTAATTATATTTAACTATGTAGTTAAGCCTCAAGTATTGTTGCTTTATTAACCATGGACTTTATATTTACTTAGAGTATCATTTTTGTACACAAAGTTATATAAGATTTTATGCCATAATTACGTACTTTTTTAGGCAGTATAGCCCACATTCCTAGGCAATTCGTAAAGCCCTTCGTGAGCGTATAAAATTGTCTACCCAACAATAAAAAGGCAGTTGGCATGCAACCCACCCGTGCAAGCAATCAGAAATATAAAAATTTTCGCAGTTAAAATTCTACCGAGTCACCCAAAAAATGCACACGGCATAGATTATTCGGCCATGTTTGCAAAAAGAAAATAATAAAGCCTATAGAATAACATATGGGAAGATAAGTAGCAAAAATAGAGCAATTTGTTTAAAGATTATTTACAATTTTTTGAAGCATAATAAAGCAACATTTTTCCTTTTTTATTTATCATTGATAAGGTTAAGAAGCTTAATATGAGATTCTCGATTTATTTTCAGGTTTATCAAATAAAATAATCGAAATAAAATAGATGCAAATTAATTTAGAAAGAAATACTAATTTAAAGAAATTATATGATTAAAAATTTTAGAGTTGCTTTCAGCATTATCATAGAATATATTCAAGATACTTAAATATTAATATAATAAAATACTTATCTAAGAAAAATGTTTGAACACATGTATTCAAAATTAGAAGAAAGATATTTTAAAAATACAATTTTAATTAAACAAAATTTAATCAAATAGCCAACTTAAGCTACAATTATGTTATGAGAACCACTGTAAGTGAATAACACTTTGCCAACTCGTATATAACTCAAGATCCCCCCTCTCATATATTATTCAAATTCTGATACCACTTTCTCGACATGTTTGAGTACCCTTTGGATCCTTTGGAATAGTAACAACTGGACCACATATAATTAGAAAAGTTTCACACTCGACGCAGTGCTGTGCCCTGTGCCATGGAGATTGGCCCCATAGAATTCGAGAAAAACTTCTGCGTTTCACTTACTCGTTATTGTCTATGGCTCTTGTGAATTTGCTTTGGGTTGGGTGGGTTCTCTTTGGTTATGGACAACAGTTCGTTGGAGATTAGAGAGGGGAGAGCAGGGGAGAGCAAAGGAGGTTTGCAAATTGCTGTGGTCAATGACAGTGCAAACTACTTGATTCGACGCGCATTGAATGCACAATGGAAATGTGCATAGAATGGTCTGTTCAAATCCAAAAATTTCAATTAATGTGCCAAAACGTTATTTGGAACTAACCAGTGAAGCGTGAAAAGCAAGTGGTTCAAGGGAAAAAGCTTATTGGATAGCATTTGGGTCATAAGTGGAATACATTTTACATTATACTGAACTAAATATTCAAAGGGAAAACCCTAAATACTAAGACTTAAACGGATTTTGCTTTAAGTAAATTGAACTTCCGGCTTATACTTAAAGTACATATGGATAAAACGAATAGGAACTTGTTCAAAATAAGAACCACCAAACATTTATTTTCACTGTTAACTAAGCTAAGCAACTTAATCAAGCTGACAGTTTCACATGTTGTCCGCAACTGGGACGAGTTTTGAATACAAATGGGATTTTTCTTCTAACTAGCACACGTATGGTAAATACTCTAACACATTTTCGCTGGAAATCAAAACTCGGCTTAAGATACCCTGCATAGAACGATGGTCAGTTTGCATATTGATGAGTTGGGCTGATAGTGTACACGGCACACACATCGCAGGACAAAGGACACGTGCTGCCAACAATAACAACAAGTGTAGCGTGTGTGTGTGCAAATGTGTGTGGGCCATTAGATAAGTGCAACAATAGCAATGCATTTGGACTGGGCGTCGCCAGCTGACTTTGCTTCAAGTGTGTGACTAAGTACAATAACAAAATTGTGAGGCAAGCGAATCGATAGGACCAGCCGCTATGCAGCCCCACGCAGAGCCAAGCACGCTGTCGTAGTCCTTGTTGCTGTTGTTGTTACTGTTACCATTAAAGTGCCGCTGGAGGTGGACGGTGGTGCAATAAAAGTTTTGACTGCGCTGCGCTGATGTAATACCGCAAGACAATCTGCCTTTGCACGTCATATAGCCAAACAGCAACAACAACTGAAGATATTAAAAGCCGGTAGAACACAACGCTCTCTCAGTCGCTCTCTTTGCAGCGAGATAGAGAGAGCTTAAGCGCATGCGCGCGCGCTTTCTCTCTCGCTCTCGCTCTTCCTCTTTCCAACAGCTGTAACAGGAAGCGTCAGCAAAAAGAAGGCATTGCTAACTTTTCAGTGCTCGTAATTTGATGAATCAGCTGTTCTGCAAAGGGCACCCCACTCAACCCTTACCTGTCCCTTTGCGAGACCGTAACTGGAAAGCCAGGCGACGTTCTTGTGTTTCGTGCTTCTATTCTTGTGCTTGTGTTCGCTGCCTTGTCGCCGGTTGGCTCTGCCCGGCCGGTCCGCTAGCTAACGGTGCCTCGTCGTGGTACACTTCCTTCAGGCCACATAGACTACACCACATGGCTATTGATTTTTTTTCTCGTTTTTTTCCGTCCCGTCTGTCTGTCCCAATGCTGACGCGTCTGGTGTTGAGCGTAATGTACATTAATTTATTCTATGCCAAGCCGAAATTTTTATTATTTTTTGCATTGCATGTTTGCTTACAGCCAACTCCATTTCACGACACTCCCAAGAATTGCCACTGGGAGCTGGTAAAATTATATATGGTACATAAAAATGGAAATTTGTGTTGCTTTGTGTTCACTCGACTGCAGCTTTAACAGTTAGAAAAAAGTCAAATATAAAATGTCATCGCCTTCAAAATCACAAAATTGTCGGAAATTTCACGGAAATTAAATTTCTAAATAGATATCTTATTAATTTCCTTTCATTGTTAATTTAAATATTTAACTCATTTATATATCATTATCTGCCTTGGTTTGACAATAATTCAGAATATTAAAAATGAGTAGAATATTAGAAATGTAGTGGATAATAATATTTAATATCCTCTAGCAATTTCTTGACCGCAATTTCATTAAATCAAAAATAATCCCATGATATAATCCCTCAGCAGTGCAACACCCTCTCGAGCAGCCATAAATTCAATTCAGTCACCCCCATTTGGTCTGCACCCTTCCTCTTCGAGTGCACCCTTCGTCATCCTTCGTCGCCCCTGTGGATATGCAATAAAAATCTGTCTCACATAAATCAAGCGACTTGCACAGAAATCCGCAATATAAATAAATAAAAGCAGCCGCTCTATGTAAGTGGGTTAAGAAACTGCAATTGAGGAGCACCCAAATAGTTATTTCTTAACTTATATTTAGTAGCTGCAACTTGGAGATAGAGAAATGGCTTAAAGCACAAAGAATCTTTGACAATTTCTTAGCATTTTATGCATTTCATTTTAATGAAGAGAATTTCAAGTATAATTACTGACTATTTTACATTCTCAGTTTTAGACCCTGCCCACATAAAATACCTTTGATTTCTTATATATTATAATATAAAACCAAAGTATTCTTTATTGTAACTGACCACAGAAATTAATACACCAGAAATACTGTATAGCATACCTAGTCTGAATTATTGAAACAACCAATTAATTTAAAACTAAAAGAACTGTAGAGGTTCAATGCAATATCAACAATGTTTTCATATGAGCAAGTTTAGACAGACTATACTGTAGTATTATCCATATATATGTATGCATTTAAGTATATATGTATGTACCTTGTCAACCGGCATTGATGGGCACGCTCTGCACAGATTCCAGAATGAGCCAATCATAGGGAAATGCTTTTATTGTTGTCGAACCCAATGATCAAAATACAAATTAAATAAACACGCGCGCGTTTACTTGTTTTAATAATTTATATTAATATTTATGTGAATTGTTCGCGTTGTCAACTTTTAGAGGCGCAACAACCGCAACTAACACATACACAGAGTAACACACGCGTAACACTCGCTCGCTCGCTCGCTATCGTTCTCTCTCTCTTTCTCTCTCTGTCACACACTCACTCACTCTTTCTCTCTCTCTCTCTCTCTCTATCGCTCTTCCTCACTCTCTATACGCACACGCACCTATTAAATGCGTTGCGAAGAAAGTGCGTTTGTGTTTGTCAAGTTTTCGGTTTTATTTGCTGTCTTTCTTTTTTAAGTGTCTTATGGCCCGCAGCTGTGGGAGGGAGAAGAAAACGGGAAAAGTGTAAGCGGAGAGTGCGTTAGAAGAAGTATTGCATACCAGCAGGCGACAGCAAGTGCCGTTATAATGATGATCTCATACACACGCAAACAGTCTCACACAAGCACTCACATTCACGCACACAAACACCATATTTTTATACGCCTAGGCGCTTACACTGAGACACACACTTACAAACGTCACACAATTGAGCCAATTAATGTATAATTTACAAAGTTCGCATGTGTGTATAAGTTGCCCTTCCGGCCAACTTAAGCTATTTGATATTAAATTTTGTATTTCACACACAGAAATAGCTATAAAAACCTCTTCCCCTCCTCAAACCGTCAACCAACAAATCGATATCTATTTTTTGTGACAGCCGTGTGCTATGCAATACTCTTCATTTGCCGCTTGTTTTACTTTTTTTTTTTTTTTTTTTGAATTATTTGTTTTTGCTGCACTAATTCGCCGTTAGTGGGCAGTGAAGCGCAACATTTGCCGTTTACTTCAGTTGCCACTGCAAAAATTTACTTAACACTGAACACACATTTTTTGCTTTCAATGCAACGTTGCTGTCGCTGCTGCTGCTGCTGCTTCTAGTGGGCCAAATAAAATTTTCTTCGTTTTACCGCTAACGTTTGCAACTCGACGACGTTACGTACACGACTGAGCGGAAAGTGTGCTGCAAATTGCCGTCGGCTGTATACGAATGACAGTAGAAGAACGCCGCCAAGCCACCCAATTGAAGCCAAAGCGTCGGCGTTGGAGTTGACGCAGCGCTTGGAAGTTGTGCAGCAACGCAACCGGGGGCACTGTCTTTTGGGCAGCTGTTGTGTACCGCTCACTGGAAAGCTGCACACTACTATTAAAGTAAACATATGTTACACAGTCAGAGGCGTACCATGCACATTTTACAAAAACAAATATATTAAGTGACTATATTTCGTATCCCTATTTTTCCTTATATTTCGTATCCTATTTTATGAACGCAATAATTGCTACCATAATTCGAACTTTCTTTTTATCTGTCTGGCAACGCCGATCAATTCGCGCTTACGTGCAGCCGAAACAGCTGACCATCATATTGCAGAAATTATCGATACTTAGTTATTACTAATATATCGGTTATTTTTATATCAGCGGCACAACAAACTATGGAGTTGAACTGGGAAGTTGTTTTTTGCGTGGGCATAGCGGTATTAATACATATTCTGATAATAATATTTGTCATGGGTAAGCGGCCAAAGAGCATTGTGGGCCGTCACGTGGTAATCACCGGCGGCTCCAAGGGCATCGGCCTCTGCCTGGCCGTCGAGTGTGCTATGAAAGGAGCCAATGTCACAGTCATCGCCCGCGACGAGAAAACGTTGAGTAAGTGGAAAACCAGAAAAACTAGCTGTATAAATTTCCCTGTTTAACGACTCTCTCTATGTCTCTCCTACTGTCTGTCTCCACAGGTGGTGCTGTGGCTTTAATGGAGGTCGTCCGCCAGCGACCGGATCAAAAATTCCAATATCGCAGCTTGGACATTGGCGGCGACTATGATAAAGTGGCCAGCGTACTAAGCGAGTTGGAGGAGAGCACGGGCAACATCTATGCGCTGATCAATTGTGCCGGCATGGCAATATGCGGGGTGTTCGAGGAAGTGGCTGTGGCGGATGTGCATAAACTGATGAACGTGAACTTCTTTGGCAGCTACAATTGCACACGCTATGTGCTGCCCAAAATGAAGAAAGCTGGCGAGGGCATCATTGTGCTAACCTCCTCGCAGGCAGCCATGTTTGGCATCTACGGTTATGGTCCCTACTCCGCCAGCAAATACGCGCTGCGCGCCATGGCGGAAACAATTGCAATGGAGTCGCGCGTCCATGGCGTTTCTGTTACGTTAGCTCTGCCCTGCGACACGAATACGCCGGGATTTGAGGAAGAGGAGAAGTCAAAGCCACGCGAAACAAAAATTATTTCCGGTGGAGGCGGACTTCTGGAGCCTGAGGTTATGGCCAAGGCCATACTCAAGGATGCACTAGTAAGATGAGACTAATACACATAATTTATATGGAATTAACTGTCGGATCTTCCACAGCGAGGCAACTTTATATCCACGGTGGGAGCTGAGAGTTGGCTAATTACAATGCTGGCTGGCGGCTTGTTGCCTTGGGATGGTTTCTTCACGAATCTGCTGCACGCTTTTGTCATTGGACCAGTGCGTCTTTTCGGCTATGGCCTGCATAAGTACTTCAACAGCATTATTCGCAAATGTGCCAGAGAGGACGCTGCTAAGAAAACAGATGACAAGGATGCAGATAATGCGAAAGGCGAAACTCATTGAAAACCTGAGGAAGAACCTATTGACTAGCTGTGTCTTATATTCCATGCTAAGCAGTACAAATTCAAATGCCTTCTGTCCTTAATATATAATTCCCAAAGCCCAAAACCAAATTCATATTATATGTATTCCATTTCCATTTTATTGTTATTTTATATAACTTAACGTATTTGTGTTGGTTTCTTACGAATAAACAAACCAACTACTTGGTTTGATTTCTGTTTTAATTTTACGAAATATACATACATACTATATTATCAACATATTTTTTGTATTGCTAACCATATTAGAAATTAGGCTAATTTGACATGAAAATGCGGAAGCCTTACGATAAGATAAGAAATATATGTATGTAAGTAGGTAACTTGCTTTAGCATTCGAATTCGCTGCTTTCACAGTGACGTAAAACCTTCAAATTGTGTGTACACATATAAAAAGCCGTTAAAAATGTTTAATTACCATTTCTTATATAAATAAGGTGAAAAATATTTATAGCTTATCATTTTTTTAAAAAGACGCGCTTATATTTTCTCCAAATGCGTCTACTTCGAGCAATTTTACGTATTTTGAGCACTTTTGCAACCGATAGGCTACACAATTTCGATCAATTTGACTATCGTCTTACTGTCATCACTAAAAATAAGAGTTCTGGCGATGTAAGGAGGTGTTTTATATTGATTAGTGCAAAAACGTGTGAATTTAATTATAGAAAACAATAATTAATATGTATATTTTAAGCATATATCTTAACTTGTGTGGTAACAAGTGCGTGCGCTTGAAAATCTTGTAGTTATATTGCAAAACACGCAATAAAATTTTGCTATCGTCAGCGCTCAGCGCTCGCTCAGTGCTAGTGATGCCACAAGTGGTGTGAAAAAGTTAGAACTGCTTAAAGAGCTAAATACTTGAATATATTAATTATAAAATATAAATCAATATATATTAAATATAAAATATAATATATATGTTCATAATATTAATATAACAATGGGTTTATTAACGCTAAAATGTTGCCACGCAAACAGTCATGGTCAGCTGAATAATAGCCAACAACGCAGCACAGTTAATGCCGTTGTTTGTGCGGAATAATTTAGACAAGTTGGAAAATAGATATATAGATATATATAACTATTTAAACTTGTTAATAAAGATGTAAATGAAAATCAATGCCAACAAGTGAAAGTATATACAAATAAATTAAAATAATTTCGAAGCATTGTTTATGTTGTTAGTGCTGCAATTAATACCCATTTAAAAAATTGTATAAATAAACGATTTGTATGAATGGACAAAGTGTGATCGTGACTATGAAATACCCTGTATGATAGAATTAATTTGTTACTTATTCAATGTAATATATAAAGTGAATAATGGATTGGTGCTTCATATGTATGCTACATATTATTACGGTTACAGGGTATTAACGACTACTCAACACAATGAAACGGTCAATTGATTGTCGGTCGTTCGTTTGGTCGGTCAGCTGCTCAGTTGCCTTTCATTTATTATCGTTCTCCCTGTCACTTTTGCAAAAACAAATATACGTACGTAATACGACTAATTGTCTGACTGCGTGTATGCGTACTGTAATTCGATATAAATATACAATTAATTAAAACTAAGGCAAAATGCTTCAAGATGTCGTTGTCGTTGTTGTTTACTTGGCGACATCGCTTATCACTTTACTACGTTTTGCACTTTACGTGTGTCGTAACGTCATCAACAACAACAACAACAGCAACTGCGTCCACAGCTACAGCGGTCATTTATGTGTCCCACGTAACAAACGTGCTTACGTAGTTACAGTCACTCTTACCGTTAAGCATTTTTAGCTGCAATAGCTTTAATTGCGTTCTTGACTATAAATTAATTATATATTATGCAAATATGTGCACACATACTTATTTTTATTATCATTTGAAAAACAAATATTTATGAATTTGCGTCTGAAAGCAGAGATAAAGCGAGGGCGAATGACTGTAGCAAGCAAAATGATTTATCCTAAACAGATGTAAAGAAGTCACAGTAAAGTACACTATAGAAAACAACGTTCTTTGATATATCGTATGAGCAATGGGGGTTCTTTTTGTAATAACAAATACAAATGATAAAAAAAAAACAGCTCAGAGCTTGAAACTCTTAATGGAAAAATATAAATAACTAAAACGAATCAATTTGCAATGGAATGAAAGTAATAATAATATAATTTTTGTTTGCATATTAATAATATAAGATATTTGAAACAATATTATAAGATATATATATATCATTTCTTTATTTCAT